CCCCCTCAGAGAGGCAAGGGGAGCAATGGCCTATAGAAACCCCCGTGTGGTTGGAAGCATTCTATGTCTGCCATCGACCGAGTCAAGCATCCAGAAAGGTAAGCATTCCAAAACAAACCCCTATTCTGGTGAAAATTGCTGCCTAAAGCCTAACTAGTGGATAGAACTCCTCAACAGAAAACAAGCAAACTAGTATGATGTCATACGTCACCGCGCCGCTGTCTGTGCAGCTCCCCCCTCCCTGGGAGGGGGAAGGGGGAGCCCCAGACCTCCCACGCCGGCTATCCACCCATCAGTTCTTCGGCTGATGCTATAGGCACCGGTTATGTGCTCCGGCTCCAGTAGTTGTTTCAGCACTGTACCTAAAGTGTGGTGTCTGTCTTCTAGGTGGTGCGTGAGCTGGGAGTGTGTCTCCAGTAGTCGGGCTGCGTGCGCCTAGGGTTCCCTTCCCTAGGTGCCCTGTAAGTACTGCCCTTGGGGCTTGGGGCCACCTTCCACAAGTTCCTTGGGTCCTGCCCTTGCTAGGCCGTTTACTGCTTGGTTTTCGGTCGCTCTTTGTGTGCTCGGGTGTTCTGTCTCCCTTGTTCGCCTTAGAGTAAGGGGCAGTTTTTGCACTGGTGGGGCGCAGGGTACTGTGCAGCTTGTCTTTACCAATCATGGCGGCCGGCTCTGTTCCGCTTGGGTACGCTGTCCTCTTGCGGGGTTTTCTTTTTCTTTTTGTTTATCTACCTGGTGGGGGGGGGGCCTGCCTTCGTTCTTGCCCCTTGTGTCCCTTGTGTGCTGAGTATTATCTGGTGGTACCCCCTGCTAGGTCCCCGTGAGTGTACATGTCTCGGGGGTTCAGCTCTTAGAAAGTTGTTTGGTAGCTTTGGGTGCTGGTTAGCAGTACCCTGCCTGGGATTACCTGAGCGCGAGTCCTCTTATAGTAAACGCTCGGTACCCTGGGAAACCCCTGGGGGCGCGTGGGTCCGATGCATGTGACCCCAGAGTCCCCCCTCGCTTCCAGCGAGTTTGAGGGTTGCTTTCACCCTTTGTCTCTGGGTGACTCTGTTTTGCCTCCGTCTGCTGCCTGTGGGGTCGGTGACACCTTCAACCCGGAGTCCTGCGAGTTTGGTTGCTCGTTGTGGCTCGGTTACCCAGTTGTGCTGACTAAGCGGGTGCGGGCAGCAGGGGCGTTGCACTTTGAGCCTTGGTGGTGGCAACGCTCTCGTGGTTTACTCCCCGGAAGCCCCGGGGCTGCCCCGTTTTGGTTCGTGTTGGGACTTGGGGGTATTGGTTGCTTCGGTTCCTTCCACGCCCCCTTGTCTTTCCCCTGGATCCCCCTTCCTGCCTGCATCCGGTTCCTTACCGTCTGTAGGTTCGGGGCGAGGTTTGATGGTGTTGAGACTTGGGCAGTCTCGGGGAATTCCCCTTCTGGGGTAGTGACGGGCATTTGAGCCTGTTCCTCCAGCCGTGTTGTAAGAGTCTGCCAGTGGGCTCCCTTCCTTAGTGTTTTCGCGGATGCCCCGGTTTTCTGGTACAGCCGGGGCTTTGGGGGGACGGCTCGGCCCCGGGGCCTGTCGTGTAGGTTCCCGGGGCTGGGGAGGGGCTGACTTGGGGGGCCTTGGCCCCATAGGACCCCGTGGGGTTTTTATCCCCCTCTAAGCGGGGCTTGTGGTTACGCGGAGTGGGGTCTTTCCTCCCCACTCGCCGTATGTGCTGTTGGGCGTCGGCCCCTCCCCGGGCTCGTTTCCTTGGCCTTTGAGTCGGTTGGTTCCGTCCTGTGGGTGGATGTTTCCTCCCACCGTTTTTTGGGACGGTGTTTTCGTCATGTTTCCCTGTTCTTGGGGTTCTACGAGACTTCTGGTCTCCGGTGCGCCTGCGCCTTTGTGTGCCTTCGGGACTAGAGTTGGCTTCTGTGTTCTCGAGGGTTCGGGAAGGTTTTCGCTACTTCCCGCATTGTTGGAACGTCTGTCTGCTCCTCGTCCTTGTTGCCGTTTTGGGCTACTTGTAGCCCGGTTGGGCTGCTTGTGGCCAGTGGCCCAGTTTGGGCTACTTGTGGCCCAGTTGGGCTACTTGTGGGCCGGTTGGGCTACTTGTAGCCCTGTTGGGCTACTTGTAGCCTTGTTGGGCTGCTTGTGGCCCGGTTGGGTACCTTTTTGGGCTCTGTCTTCACTTCGTTGGCCTGTTTTATTGTTCCTGCTTCCTCTTTTGACTACTTTTCTAGTGCAGTAGTCCTGGTTGGCGCCTTCCCGCAGAGAGGGTTGTGCAGTTCGGCCAGCGTGTCATGCGCATGCGCCGTGGAGTTTGTTTTGGTGTGGGAGGTGTGTTTCAGTGCTGGTGTTTTGCGCCCTTTTTGCTCAAGTGCTTCGCCTCTCGGTCTTCTCTCTTGCTGCGGTATGTGCCCCTTCGCTCCGGGGGTGTCCTGGTTTCCAGTTGTGGGGCGGACGCAGAGGTTTTCCCTGTGTCATGGGTGTGGGCCGCCTCCTTCGCCTCTACCCTGCGGGTCCAGCCGGGTCCGGCTCTGGCGTCTTCACCTGGCGGTGCTCCCAGGTTCTTCTGGGCACGGTTGAGTCGTGTCACGTTTGTGCCACCATTCGCCAGGTGAGTTTCTGCGGTCTGGCGTCTTTTGGCCGGGCGCTGGATGCGGTGTTGTTTATATACCTGTCTTTAATTAGGTATATTTTTGTATGACTGAGACCGTTCGCACACCAGTGACTGTCCCTTTTTCAACCCTTCCTGTCCCACTCATGTGCATGTCCAACCCATGCTAGTCATTCAGGGGACCCACCTTTTTTCGTGTTATGAGGTGTGGGGGTTGTGGTGTTGGTTATGTACTCACCTGGTAAGGCTTCTGGCTGTGCTTGCAGGGTTTGAGCTCCGGCTCTTGGGTCCCGCCTATCTGTTAGAACTTGCGGGATAGTACGAGTGGAGTGCAGTGGTGCTATGGGCACAATCGGGAAACACTGTATAACCATCAGAGGTCTGCGGTTGTTACACGACCTACTTGCGAGCATACGCCTTATTGCTGGTACGTCCGTGGACTTCTGGGACACACTAGCTTGTTTTCGAATAGAAGTTCCTGGCCTCGGGCCGGGCTTGGGGAGTAGAAGAACTCCCAGAACCCCATCAAGCAGGTACACCGTCCCCAGAGGCAACAGGAACCGGTCGCCGCTTAGGTGGCAGGTCGCGCAACACCTTGACGCCCTAACCAGCACAATACCAGTCCCTACCCAGGGCCAACAAGGGGCCCCAAGCCCCAACTGGCCCCAAGGGCAAGGCAAATGCTGAGCAGCAAGAAGCTCTACGAGAGTGGTTCCCGAATGCCCCAGGGAAGTTAACCCTGTCACGCAGGGGCAGTACTCACAGGACGCTTAGGGAAGGAAGCCCCTAAGTGCATGCAGCCCTGGTACTGATGAGGTACTCCTGGCCACCGCACAACACAACACACGACAGTGAACGCCACGAAAGGCAAACACCGCCTAGGAAACTGAGGCCAGAGAAGCGTCTATCTCGGTTGACATTAGTTTACGAACTGATGCTAGGCAGCCGGCATGGTGAGGTCCGAGGCTCCCCCCCCCCCCCTCTCGAGGTGGGGAGGGCTGCACGGACGATCGGCGCGGAAGTAAAGTGTGATGTTTGCTTGTTTCCTTGTTTCCTTGGGATTGTAGGGAGTTTCTACCTCTCTGTTCGGTTTTCTGTTTCAGTTTTTACCATGTGGGGTTTGTTTTGTTATGCCTACCTTTCTGGGTGCCTAACCCCGGTTGATGGCAGATAAGGAAAACCCCAACCACAAGGGGCCCGATAAGCTCCAGGGAGCCATAGGGGCTTCCCACAGAAAAATAATTGTGGCACCTGTTACTTTCACCAATTACATCGGTGAAAGTAACAGGTGCCATTGGACAATGTATTTGTATGATATAGAACAAAATAGAGCATAATAACATACTCATTATTATTTGTGTTAACATGTATTACTCAGCAATGCTATAAGGCACCAGCTGCATATCAACTTAGTGGATACTTCTTACTACTATTCTACTTCTTTGTGCATTGAACAGGTGCTTGTATCTCTTTATTACTGCATTATCCCTCAATTCCTGTTAATAGGAGCTGTTCTCCTTATCAACAAAATGTTCTACTTTTTAAAAATAAAATTGTCTAAAATCCATTTCTGAAAATATTGGGATGAAACTTACATGACGCTGAAGCCAGTAAGTTGGAGATTTGTTTAACATTTAATATTAATTTTCACATAATTCAAATATTTTTTTGCCCAGCCCTAGCTTATACCCCCCATTCCCAGGCTGTGGCAGTGTAAGGGTTAAGGGAAAAATGAAAACAAATATATTTAATTAAAATTGATTAAAGTAAGAAAAAATTACACTTTGTGATGTCTTGGCTGGCACTAAAGTTAAACTGAGTACTGTATCAAGGTCTGATTCACTCGGAATCCATGTGATCTCGAACCTCCAATCAGATGTAAATCAGATGTAAAACCAGGGTTGATTGTAATAAAAATGTCTCTTTCTGGTGGCTCCTTGATGGTTCCTTGGTTTCCACTTTCAGGGGCTTCAGTTTTAGTTTTCCCCTCTCACTGACTAATGAGTTGGTTGGGTAAATCTAGTAGTTGGTTGCACTACCACCTGGTGGTAGGTAGCTGCTACAAGAGGTTGAACCACCGGATGCTCCCAGGTGGATCAGTTCATGGTCTCATTTGCTGTGTTGTGTTTACCTTGCCATTGTCTGTTTTGTTTTACTTTACCTCTCAGGTGGCATATTTGTTGATCTGAGTGATCTGATATTCACAGCCCCCTGTGCTTTTCTTGAGAGGGAGGACAGGTTTTGGCCCCCAGTAGGCTTACTATGACTTGCAAGAGCCTCATGCTATCCAAGTTGGTAGCAACAGGAGTCACCAGGGACCCACCAGAATATAGAAGCATTTCATCACATTCAACACTGAGTTTTTATTGCAGTTATGATTAAAAGATTCATAATACAGTAATTCATTGTTTTTTCAGGAACTTAGAGAGTGTATGAACAGAATATTTGTGGACTCCCCTCCTGAGTTTGTACCTCCAACATCAGGCTTGGTTGATTTCTCAGAAGTGGATGCCATCCTAGTGTCCAATTATCACAGCATGCTCGCACTACCTTTCATTACCAATGGTACTGGATTTAAAGGCGTTGTAATTATGACAGAGCCAACTATGCAGATAGGAAGGTGTGTTTATTCACATTTTTATGGTTATTAAGGTTTTTGTGAACATGATATTGCTTAAAATTAGGTTTATTTCATAATATAAACATTCTTTCTTGTTTAATTCACTGACACTGGTCTTAAAATTGATTGAGACTGGATCTTTAGTACTGTATTGTAAAAATGTTGGTCGTTGAGCATTGACTTGTCATACTCAACTTAAATGTATTAACAGTGGTTCTCAAACCTGTGAAAATTTCCGCCCTCAACATTTTGAGGTCATGTTATAACGCATGTATATTTATTTGTCAGGTTATTCATGGAGGAACTGGTGGAATACATAGAGAGAACACCAAAAGCCAGACACGCATCCCGCTGGAAACATTACCTGCGGTCCCTGCCTGCTCCTCTTGGTGAGGCCAAGGCACCAAACACATGGCATCCAGCATATTCCATGAAATCCATTAATTCTGCTCTCACTCATGTTCAAATTCTTGCCTACAATGAGAATATTGTAAGTATTTTCTCTTGGTTTATGCTTGTACCAAGCACACGGTGTCAACACTGGTAAAGACATACATCAGCTTGAGAGATGACATTACATGCAGATAACATTTTGCCTTCAAGTACTTTAATAAATGTTTATCCAGTTGGTTTCTCGTTGGTGGGTACAGGAAGCCTGTTAGGCTTTTCCTGGTTGCCCTAGTCTAATTACTGACCTTTCCCAAGGATACAACCCACAACAGTTGACTAACTCCTGGGTACCTATTTACTGCTAGGTGAATGATGTAGTGATTTATTGATACCAGTATTTTGAGAGACGGTGATACTGCCTTATTAACCACTGTGCTGCTCGTCTTTCAAATACGGCACCCCCCCTGTGTATTAGTTACCTTCTTTTGGATGTATGGTTCTTGCTGGAGAGTAGAGAATACACTGATGATCACCAGCAGTTTATTGAGTAAGGTAACAAGTTGTTTATCTGGCCTGCCGAGGTCTTACCTACTCTGGGGTCTGTGTGAATACTGACTCGTCACCAGAACGGCTAGTACCAGTTCTCTGTGGAGAATGACGTCAGAGGCTTACTCGACTGTGATTGGCTATGCCCCAACCGTCGTACAATTTGAGTACTGTACTAACACGTGCGCAGGAAACAAATTCTTGGGAAAAAAATATTTTTGTTTTTGAAAACGTTAAATACCCTTCCCTGATCACAGATATGTAAAAAAAAATTGAAATTGTACTTACTTTGGCCGCAATGGGGTCCGGAAAATGGCGTGTGATGTCATGATTTGGTGGTCGCCTGAGGTGTAGACTCCTGAAGCCAGTTACCCGCCAGCTTCAACATGCGCGAGTTGCCACAAAAATTTTTTTGTTAATTTTTTGCATACATTTCCAAATACCTGTACATTTGTTTTGTTTTTTCTTGCCAATCCTATGTATAATGAACACGTACACAATATTATGGCAGTAGAACATCTGTACAGTACTGATGACGGATGTGTGTGCGACTGATGAAGAGAATGTGTGTGACTACAGGAGAATGGGCAGGTATGTAAAAGGGAAAGATCAACCTTTGAGGTTCACTCTAAACGGTGCCAAACAGATGGAAGAAGTACTGTACTAAGGATTGCTAGAAAATTATAAAATGATGAGGATGGGAAAGTGTGGTCGTTAAGATGAGATCTTTCCAGAAAAGACAGAGAGAAGCTGAAACTAACCTCGTAGAGGCATAACATCTAAATGAGAGCAGAAACGAAGAATAAATAAATTCTTTTTCTTCAAAGTGATAGGGGTAGACAGGCCAGTAAAATGGTACAAAAAGGCAAACCAACAAAATTGCTAGAGAGAGGGGTAGTGAAGAATAAGGAGAGGGGAAACATGTTCCTGAAAATAGTATACGCCAATGTAGATGGAGTGAGATCGAATATACTGGAGTTAACCCTTTAACTGCGCAACGCGCCTGCAGGCCCACGTCTGGGGTGCGCTACGCGCCTCTGGGTATTTGTATTTTTCACGTTCCATTCAAAACTCCCGCGGCTACATGGGGTTCACATCAACTTCCTCAGGGCTCTTGTAAACAGACGCCATCTTAAAAAAAAATCGTGGTCCACATTCCCGGGTGTGAGACGCTCAGTAGTGAGTGAGCAACCAAGGCTGGCACTCGCAGCATGAGCGCACAGCACTGCTGTTCAACGTGTGACCACAGCATCACCTAATAATGTCAAAATATATATATAATCTGTATTATTTAGCCATGATAGTATTATAGAAGAGCCTGAGTGTGATAATGACTGGGTACAGTGTTCAAATATCAGTGATTCAATGCTGTTCACTATGTTCACAGTGCTAGCCACAGCATTATTTCGTCCATCTAGGAATCTTCAAATGATTTTTTAGGTTCCTTTTCAAAATAAACTTGTGGTCAGTTATTCATTTACAGGAATTAGTGACCAGGATTGTGGTTATAATTAGCATTGTGTGTAGTATTGTGGAAGGAGGAATTTTGGTGAGGGAGGGAGGAAGGGAGAGAATTGAGGTAGCTTCACTATGTGTGGTAGACGCTCTTGTTTTGCTCACCATACTAACTTCGTTGTTCACTACTGGGAACACAACATATGTATATGGGTATATGCAGTGTGTGTGTATATCACACACAGCATCAGGAGTATGTTGAGAGGAATTATTTTGGTGGGGGAGGTGACTTCGTAATCGTAGCGTTGTCTGCTGTGTGATTTCACATGCAGTGTATGGTGGCCACTATACTGTTTGGACACAATACCGGCTTACTTGCATAGTTCTGGTAAATAAAACATGTAGATAGGTATATATAACATGTGTAAATAGTGTAATAAAAACAATAACAGTATGGTGGGAGGAGGAATGTTGGCGAGTAAGATGTTGGAGTGAGGGAGGGCTGGCTGGGTGTGGCTGCTCACACTCGCGGTGTTCTGAGTGTGTTGATGGTGAATGTATATAGTGTGTGACAGTGTATAGTGTGTACATATGTTGTAAATATACATAAATGAACATGAAACATTGGTGTGAATAACTGTATGATGGGAGGAGCAATGTTGGATGAGTGAGGGAGGGCTGGCTGGGTGTGGCTGCTCACACTCGTGGTGTTCTGAATGTGTTGATGGTGAATGTATATAGTGTGTGACAGTGTATAGTGTGTAAATAGCTTGTATATATACATAAATTAGCATGATACATGGTAAATATGTGCAACATATGTGTACACAAGTGTCATGCACGTAACACAGTGTCTTCGGACAGTATGGATGTTTTACTGCCATAATATAGTGTACGTGTTCATTATACATAGGATTAGCACATAAAAACAAATAAAATGTATTTGGAACTGTGCGCAAAAAATGAACAAAAATATATTCGCTGCAACTCGCGCGCCCTGCCCCGGACGCCCTACTGGCCCCGGGAGCATACGTCATGGGCGAACGGGGAATGATGACGTCACCTGCCACCTTATGGACCCCATAGCAGCCAAAGTAAGTACAATTTCGATTTTTTTTTTACATACCCATACTTAGGGAAGGGTTTTTGACACTTTAAAAAACAAAAGAATTTTTTCAAGAGAATTTATTTCCTGAGCACTGGGGGGGGGGGGGGGGTGTCATATTTGGAGGTGGCACAGTTAAAGGGTTAAGTGATGTAATGCAGCTGCATACTCCAGACATTGTTGTGCTCACGGAGACAAAACTTGAAGATGTTATTTTAAATGAGGTCATATTCCCAAGGGGCTACTCAATTTGGAGACGGGACAGAAAAATTAGGAAAGGTAATTACCTAAGTGTAATTACCTAAGTGTATTTACAGGATGAGAACTATGCTCGTGGTGTCCCGTCTTCCCAGCACTCTTTGTCATATAACGCTTTGAAACTACTGACGGTCTTGGCCTCCACCACCTTCTCCCCTAACTTGTTCCAACCGTCTACCACTCTGTTTGCGAAAGTGAATTTTCTTATATTTCTTCGGCATCTGTGTTTAGCTAGTTTATATCTATGACCTCTTGTTCTTAACGTTCCAGGTCTCAGGAAATCTTCCCTATCGATTTTATCAATTCCTGTTACTATTTTGTATGTAGTGATCATATCACCTCTTTTTCTTCTGTCTTCTAGTTTTGGCATATTTAATGCCTCTAACCTCTCCTCGTAGCTCTTGCCCTTCAGTTCTGGGAGCCACTTAGTAGCATGTCTTTGCACCTTTTCCAGTTTGTTGATGTGCTTCTTAAGATATGGGCACCACACAACTGCTGCATATTCTAGCTTTGGCCTAACAAAAGTCGTGAACAATTTCTTTAGTATATCGCCATCCATGTATTTAAAAGCAATTCTGAAGTTAGAAAGCGTGTCATAGGCTCCTCGCACAATATTCTTTATGTGGTCCTCAGGTGATAGTTTTTTATCTAGAACCACCCCTAGAACCAACCCTAGATAGTTTTCTATCTAGAAGGGTCTATGTTCTCCTATTCCACATTCCATAACGTGGCATTTATTAACATTAAATTCCATTTGCCAAGTGGCGCTCCATGTACTTATTTTGTCCAGGTCTTTTTGAAGGGCATTACAATCATCTAAGTTTCTTATCCTTCCTATTATCTTAGCATCATCAGCAAACATGTTCATATAATTCTGTATACCAACTGGTAGATCATTTATGTAGACAATAAACATCACTGGTGCAAGAACTGAACCCTGTGGTACTCCACTTGTGACATTTCTCCAGTCCGATACATTGCCTCTGATCACAGCCCTCATTTTTCTATCAGTCAGAAAATTTTTCATCCATGTTAGAAGCGTACCTGTCACTCCTCCAATATTTTCCAGTTTCCAGAACAACCTCTTATGTGGAACTCTGTCAAAAGCCTTTTTTAGATCCAGATAGATGCAGTCAACCCAACCATCTCTTTCCTGTAATATCTCTGTGGCTCGATCATAGAAACTGAGTAAATTCGATACACAGGATCTTCCAGATCGAAAGCCATACTGTCTGTCTGATATTATATCATTTCTCTCCAGGTGTTCTACCCATTTAGATTTAATTATTTTTTCCAATATTTTGACTATTACACTTGTCAATGATACCAGTCTATAATTAAGGGGGTCTTTCCTGCTTCCACTTTTATAGATTGGAACTATGTTAGCCTTTTTCCACACATCAGCTACAACTCCTGTATACAGGGATGCCTGAAAAATCAGTTGAAGAGGAATGCTGAGCTCAGGTGCACATTCTCTCAGAACCCATGGTGAAACTCCATCTGGACCAACTGCTTTGTTCTTATTTAGCTCCTTGAGCATTTTTTCCAGTTCGTCTCTAGACACCTCTATGTGCTCTATGTTGTTCTCTGGAATTCTTATTGTATCTGGTTCCCTGAAGATTTCATTTTGTACAAACACACTTTGGAACTTTTCGTTTAATGTTTCACACATTTCCTTTTCATTTTCCGTGAATCTATTTCCCATTTTCAACCTCTGAATATTATCCTTTACCTGC